AGCCGGGCGCTGCCCGCGGCGGCTCCCGGGACGACGGTCGGCCATTTTCTCACCTTCAGTTCCCCCCTTACTGGGGGCATCGCAGGCCGACGCCGGCCGAGCCGCCCCGCAGCGGGGCCGTGTTGGGGCGGAGCGGGGCCGAGGGCGGCGCGCGCTGCTCGGAGACGCGCCTGGCGTTCCCGGAGCGGCCCCTGCGGCAGCGCAGCCCCTGCCTCGCCCCGGCGCCGTGCGTCCGAATGCACGCAGACCCCCGCGTTCGCATCTGCTCCTCGGCGATGAAGGACAGCTTCCCCTGCCCCGCAGCCCCCCCCCCGCAGCCCGCCCTCCCCAGAGCGCAGCAGAGCAGCGGCGGAGTTCTTTGTGGAGACAGGGAGAAAATCGGGCTCCCTCCTTCAGTGCACAGCACCTCGTACCCAGCGCACGAGGTCCGTCCCGCTGCCAGGGCGCGTCACTCCCACAGCGGTGAGAGCTCCGGCGTCAGAGGCTGCCGGGATCCCCAGCACGGACTGGCGGTGGCCTGGCTCAGAACCACGCTGCCAACCATTAAAGCCGGGTGGATGTTCTGCCTTCTCGTTTTATGACTGAATTAATCAACCCGATGCTCATAAAACGGCTTCAGCCAAGGGCGCCAAGCGTTCCCAGCAGCAAACATCTCCGCTTGCAGTCCCTCAGGTGCTGCTGTTCTCACTCAAAAGCTGCACTGCTTCTGATGCACCACATCCACGTTCTGCAGTTTTAATCTGGTGTTAAATGCTCTGCCATTCAACGGTGCTGAATCAATTTGGGAGCCGCTGTCTTGAGAGTATAGCTTTAATCTCAGTCATATTTCCTTACAAGTGTAAATAGAGCTGAGTTGTATTGTTTTGTTTTAAATAACACCAGTTCCCCTTCTGGCCGTTTGCAGGATGTGCTCCCATTATTAAAGGGGATGGACGGCCCTATTACCACACTTCTCATCAAATGCAGTTTAAAGGTGAACACGGTCCACCTGCAAAGCCAAGTGAGAAGGTAACAACATGAATTTGGGGATGACCAAGACACGGTTTTCAGCACCTTGCCATGTTGAATTCTGTCCTGTGCAACTGAAAAAACAGCAGATGGAAAGACAGAGGTGGGAAACAAAGGGATCGTGCTTTGAGCAGCAGTTTCATAGCTCTGTTTGCTTCCCTTCAGCACAAATCTCGTATAAAATTTGGGGATCCCAGAAGCAGTGGATCTATGAGCGAGCAGAAGTATGCCTACACTGCCCCGGGCAAAAGGGAGCACAGGTATTCAGCAGGATAGGCTGACGAGCATCCCAGCAGCTGCTCCTTCTGATGAGCATTGCTATTTAAGCAGCTCAGATCTGTTATCTTGCAGGTTCTATGACAAGGAATGCGCTGCCTTCCAGATTCACCACACAAATGTGCAGCCAGGTGATGGTCGCACCAGGTTCTCCACCTCGATGTCAGAGCTCTTTCCAGTACATAATGCAGGTAAGGTGATGCAAAGACAACATGCAGACCTCTGCTAAGGTTTATAACCAGCTGAACGGTGTTTTTTATCACTTGGCCTTAATAATATAGACAAAAGGTGTAATGCATGACTATCATACATATGTGAATTTCTGTTTTTAACATTTTATTGTTCTTACATACTCAGTGCCAGTATCCTCACAGTGGGGTTCAGTTTCATTCCTAGCAGGTTCAACAGCTACGTCCTTCACTCTCGCCTTTGCCAGAGCCTGTAGCTATTGCCTGTCTGAACAAAAACACTTCATCCATCCCCAGAGGTGATGAAGACCCAGAGAGAAATCGTGCACTGGCAAGAATTACCACGACACAGCTCTTCTACCCAGAGGTCTGTTCCCATCCTTGCTGTGTGGGTGTTTTTAAGCACTTTCCTAGGCCTCTGTTGTCCATTCTCCCCTTTCCATGCTGGCTGGCAACACGAGCCTCTGGGCTGCGTGGGGGTGTGATGTGACACAGGGCACCTTTCCCAGCTCCAGCCTACTTCTGTTACAGCCAGCCATTGTGTTCTGTAGGCTGGCAGGTGGAACTTCTCCCCGAAGCCTGACTTGCTGCTGCAGAAACATGGAAGCAATGTCTGCTTAGGAGATGACCTTTCAGGCTCCTGTTTCTTCAGCACAACACAGCACTCAGACTACCAGCCACCACTGCAGCCCCAGAGGGTGACAGGAAACAGCAAGAGCCACCGTGACAGCCACATCCCCTTCTGCTACCACAGTAAGGTTGCTCAGGCTGTCCTGGTGCTGGAGGAAGCCTGCGAGGTTCTCCTGGGTCTGTGCAAGGAAAAGCAGTGCCTGGTGCTCTGGGAAAGGAAGCAGCTCAAATATCTTGGGTTGAAGATGGCAGGCAGGCATGGGTGCAGCTTCAGTGTCATTAGGAAAACAAAGCCAGTACTTTGAAATCGGGCAGAACAGCCACGCTCAGCCCCCTGCTGCACGGGGCGACTGCTCATTTCAGGCCCTTTCACCTCCCCGTGTGACAGCTCACTTCTTTGTCACTGCAGTCACTCGCTCCTATTGTGTAGGAATTGTTAGCACGTTCAGGTGGTGGCATGAATGTTTTCTGGGACACAAACCAGAGGCTTGACCTTTCTCCCTTGCTATATTTGTTTTCTGAATTTACTTTGTATTTGGGGGAGGATTTGAATTAAAAGCTGTGCTTTTGCAACCTCAGGAAGAGATGCAGTTTGAGCTGGTCGTGGGAGGCATTAAAATCCTCCTCTGGCACTGTTCCTGATGGCCAACAGCCTGCATCTGAGCGAGGTCCCTTTGTGCTGTGTGTGTTTTTAAGACATTCGCTTTAGATGCGGAGCAGATAGCAGTCAAAATTGCCCTTGTCACTGCCTTCATACCCAGCATGTGGAATGATATTCCTATGTCTTCCACGTGAATTTCTTCATTTACCTCCTCAGTGAGAGCTGTCGGTCCGCAGCTGTTTGCTGGGCAAAGGTTTGCCCTGCAGGGCTGACTGCAAAGTCTGTCTTTGCCTCTCATTAATGGAGCGTCTGCAGATCTGTGACTGCAAGACAAACTGCAAAGCTTTTCTGACGTCCTCCCAATTTACTGGCTTGAATTGTCTTTTGACTGCAATCTGTGAACAGGTGAAAATCCCATCAGCACCACCCAGGCTACGCTGGTCCCACACAGACAGCAGAAGCAACGGCTCTCTGAAGACGTGCTACAGCAGGTACAGCGCTAACAGCCAGCATTCACCGTGGGCAGGTTTGGGAAGAGGGATTATGCAAAGCAAAGCTGTAGCCACCCTGTGAAGTTCATGTTCCACCCATGCCCACGTGCTGCTCTCTCCTCAGATGAAGTGCTCACACCTGGTGCTGCCCTGGAAGCAGCAGAGTTTCTTCAGTACCGAGCAGAAGGATGAGTTCACACCCAAGTACAGAGACACAGCAGAAATCCAAGCAGCAAACTGCCACGTGAGCTGCGTCCCGCTGGGGACCCTGAAAGAATATTGCTCCCAGGGAAAGGTGCTCCTTACACAGTGATGCTCCCCCTTTTCCCTGCTTGCCCAGAACTTCCTGCAACATCAACTGCCTGTGTTGTGTTACCCAGCTGTTCTGCTGCTGCCGGTCTGGCCCTGCTCCTGGCCCAGCTGTGTGTTATTACAGTGAACGTTTATTTCAAGAGTTGAATGAGGACGCGAAGTGTTGTGACAGCAATAAACACCAGGGGATTGGTCCAAAGACACGGGTGACACCTCTCTGGAGCTGCAGGATCCACGCAGTGCCTCCAGGCGGGTGCTGGGCAGGAGGGAGCGGGGGAAGCTCAGGGGAAGGGCGAGAGATCAGAAGCGTCAGGGCTGCGTGTGGGCTGGAATCCCGTGTTATCTGTTTGGATTTTGGTGTCAAGGCCCGAAACCAAAGGTCAGTGAACAGGAGGGTGGAGAAGCAGCGCTCTCGGCTTATGATGAGCGGGGCTGTTTTCCTAGCAACAAGCAGAGTATTTCTGTTGAGTTGATAAGCTCCTGGGGATTCCCTGAATGCTGAGCTTGCACTAACTCTGGTGGGGATGTAGGCATTTTAAAGGGAGGCCGAGTGAGCAGCTCCAGCTGCTGCCTTGTCACAGCTGCCACTTCACGAGCTCTTCTCAGCCTTTTGGTGCAGATGGATTTGATTCACGTGTGCTGTGAGCCAGCAGTGCAGTATTAGAACAGGCTTGCTAACTCATTTCCAATTGCTGCAGTCTGTATGTGAGCAGTGGCCCACAAACTGCCCGTGCTTTTCTCTTGAGATTTGACATTACATCTCTTGGGAAAGGGCTGCTCTTTGTCCCACGTGTACTTGAAAGAAGCCTTACTCAAGCCTTGCAGATTCCCACAGCTGCTCCTCACGGTGTCATTTGCTGGCATTTTGCAAACACCGAGATTCAAACGTATAGATTGCTTCACTGGGTGTAGTAACAGGGACTTGCACACGCTGCAGGTCTGTCCCATATTTTTAATGACCATAAGTTGGCATTGCTACCTGTTGTGCTACTGCAGAAACAGCCACTGTTCCCTGGGGTTAAATGCTGAGCACCAGCTTTCGGTGGTGAGCTGCTGCTGGGGGTGGGCTGCAGTTGTTTGCTTTCTTTTCACGTAGATCCTGTTGCAGTTTCAGACACAGAAAGTTCTGCTGGCTTTTGGGGAAAAGATCTTTGCTTTCTAAGCCCCCTCCAACCACTCACAGAAATGCCTCAGGACTGCCTGAGTTGGGAAGGCCAAACAGACCCCGCAGTGTAAAACCAGCACAACACTCCTCCCTGCAGACGGAGCCACCAGCACGTACCCACGGCACACCAACAGCGGCTGCGGCTCGGAGATAAGACGAAGTGACGTTACTCCTCCTTTGCTTTAAAAGCCCCGTCGCCGACCTCCTCAGCTCCCCTTGGCACCGCACCCGCCTCGCACGCAAGGCCAACGCTGAAGCGTCACCACAAAGCAGAGTCTGAGCCCCACCTGGGGAGCCTGCAGGGCTGGGGGCAGGGGCAGAGAGGGGATTTCGGTGCAGCCTTTGCTCTTCCTTCCTTCCCCTGGAGGGCCGCACGTCGGAGCCGCAGGGCAAAGCGGGCCAGCAGCAATGCAGCCGCCGGGGCGCGTGCGGAGCTTGGCGGTGGAGCTGGAGGACGGGAGAGCGTGGGGAGCCTACGGCAGCGGGGAGCTGCTGCACGGCCGCGTGCGGCTGGAGCTGCGCGGTGCCCTGCGCCTGCGGGCGTTGGAGGTTTGTGCTCGCGGGCGTGCGATCGTGCACTGGTTGGAGACCCGCAGCGTGGGGCTCAACATCGTCTACCACGACTACACCGCCTTCCAGACCTTCCTGAACCGCCGCCGCCAGCTCATCCCCGGTAAGGCTGGGGCTGGGGAGCGGCTCTGTGCCGCCGTGCGGTGGGTCGGGACCCCGCGGGCTGCAGGCCCCACTCTGGGCACATCACCGCCCTCCTCGCGCCGGTGCCATCTGCAAGCAGGGTTCTGCCTCTTGACCTCTGCCGAGGGTTGCTGCGAGGCTGCCTGCGGACTCCAGGCTGGTGAACACGGAGGTTTGTGGCTTTTGTTCTGTTTGCGCAGGGAAGTGCAAACACGGGGTCTGTTCGCAAGTGTGGAAAGAGCACTTAGGAGCTCGGTAAATATTTGCTTTCAGTTTTCTGGTGCTGGAGCCACATGCCCGGCTGGTGTGTTGCTTGGATCTGCTGCGTGAGGAGAAGGCACTTGAGTTATTTGTGTAGTTGGGATGAAATGATCCAGAGCCCAGTGGCATGGGACTTGTCAGCTGTCCACCTGCTCGTTAACTCTGCCTCACAGACAGCGACACCGCTGCAGCCGCTGTGCCACCGTCGTTGCTGCCATGGGGTTTCCCCGACTCTGAAATCCACCACTGTCCAGAGGCAGAGCCTCGCTGCCGGTGGAGGGGTCACATGGGAGCTGCCTGCCTGGAGCTGCTCTTGTCTCCAGCCTGCACTGTAGGGCCATACACTCTTTTTCGAGCTGACTGTGCCTTACCACCTTGTTCTGAACATCTTCATTGCTACGGAGCTCCTGTCTTTTCGGCAGTGGCCTTTCTCTGCTGTGCCTACAGGTGGCCCCACGGCAGCTGCAGGCGTGTAAAGCATCCCATAACAATTCAGGATAGGGCTGCCTGGAGGAAGGCTTTCAGCCAAGGGCTGGGGAGTCACCGGCCCTGCGCTCTTGCAGCGTGGAGCTGGCGGCTGTGCGGGGAGCAGGGAGCCCTGTGGGTGCCATTGCATCACCTGCACATTGCTTCCTTCTCTGCTTTGTGGGGGACACGGGTCTGTGATCACAGCAGTGATGTGGGCTGGGAGAAGCGCTGCTCTGCAGCCACAACTGCTCCCATGTGTCCGTCCTGCCGGGTCCTGTTCTGTGCCTCTGCCACCAGCAGCACAGAGAGGGGCTGGGGAAAATATGCTGTCGTCCGGGGGTCCCACAACTGCTCCCTCGTTGCTTCCTGATGAGTTGGGCTACGTTTGGGAAATGCAGAGTTTGCCATGGCAACGCAGCAGTGAGCCGGGTGGAGATAAGTGTGCTGTGCTGCGCTCACTGGGTTTATCTGCAGCTCGCTGGCAGAGCAGTGAGCGTGGGACTCTGCTGTGCTCCCAAACAGAAGCCATGGAGAAGTGCTCAGGGCCATCGCAGGCAGAGCGTGCGAGCGGGAAGGAAGGGACAACAGGGTTTCATGGGCAAAGGCGAGGCCCTGGGTGCACCCACATGGGGTGCTGGGAGGGGTCCCACGGCACTCTGCGAGCAGTGCCCCTTCTGTCCCAGCCGGGGGGGCTGCGGCCGGCCCCGTGCACACAGCTGAGGCCGGGGCTGGGTTTGGGCTCACAAAATGCCGGGGTGGCACCGTGGCCGCAGAGCTCCGTGGGTCCCCAGGGAATGGGGGGGGGGGGGGGGCTGCGGCCGTGGGTGAGGCTGAGTCACCGCGGGGGCCGCCCGCAGCTTTCCCGGAGCTCCGCTGTGCCAGGACGCGCCTCGCTTCCTTCTTCCCACCGCCGCCGCGCTCCTTTGCAGCGTTTGCAATGATTCATATTTGCTCACGGCAGCAAACGGTCACGTAAAGATAACGAAGCACGGCTCCTGCCCTCGCACTGCGGACCCGCAGCTCCCCACCGCCGTGCTTTGACCCCAACTGCACGGCAGCGATGCTGGGCGCAGAGCGAGGCCCCGTGGGTGAGATTTGTCACAAACGCAGCGCAGGGCGGCGCAGAGCCGCCATTCGCCTGGTTGAACGGCCCGGGGGGGACGCGTTGCTCACCGCGCATTGCACAAGCTGAACGGGAGCCAGTTCTTCATTTCTTAGAAATGAGCGGAGCCGCGGCCCCGAGCAGCTTTCCCCGCATCACCACTCGGCCCCATCTCGTGGGCTCCCCACCGCACCGCCACGGGGGTGAGCGGGTGCCGAGGCTCCGCAGCGACGGGCACCAGACGGCTGTAGGTCCGAGGAAGCCCTGGGAGCAGGGGGGAGGGGGCCGTACCGCCCGCACATGCTCGTTGCGTTGTTTTGCGGCGCCTGCCGGGGCCGCCCCGTCCCGTCCCGTCCCGCCCCGCCGGGGCCGCCCCCGGGGCGCGCCGGGCACTTAAAGCGGCGCTGGGCGGCGGCGGGGCGAGTTGTTGGAGCCGCCATCTCTCGCCATGCTGTTCGATCGCCTCAAGCGCTTCCTGATCGTGCTGGAGGGCGCGGAGCGGGGATCGCCGGCCGCCTTCAGCCCGGGGCAGACGGTGGTTGGGCGCGTGGTGCTGGAGCTGGCGGGGGCCGCGCGCTGCGGGGCGCTCCGGTTGCGGGCGCTCGGAGCCGCCCGCGTCCACTGGACCGAATCGCGCAGCGCCGGTTCCAGCACCGCTTACACGCAGAGCTACAGCGATCAGGTGGAGTTCCTCAGCCACCGCGACACGCTGCTGGCGCCGCCAGGTACGGCTGCGGGCTCCGAGCCCCCCGCGCGCCCCCGGCCCGGCACCCCGCACCCAGTGGGGATCCCCGCGCCGTGCCTCCCCCGGCCGGGTGGGCTGCGGGACCCCGTGCTGAGCGGGGTGGGGTTGCGGGGCGCGGTGGCGGTTTGGCGGTGCAGCCCCGGCAGAAGGATCCCGTCCCTTCGTGTGCTCCATCCCGGCGCGGAGCCCCGCGGGTGGGAGATAATCGCCCTCCGTCTGTTCTGCCCACAGATAACGGCGAAGTCACCGTCCTGCAGGCAGGAAGGCACGAGTTCCCCTTCACCTTCCAGCTCCCAGAGTAAGTTCATGGTTTCCTTAACACAGAGGGGAAGAGCCGCTGCTGGGAGTACGGCACCTCCGCCACAAACCTGCCGGCAGAGCCCTCGGAGTCACTCCTTCTCACTTCCAGGACCCTGGCGACGTCCTTCGAGGGCAAACACGGCAGCGTGCGCTACTGGGTGAAGGCCAAGCTGCACCGGCCGTGGGCCACGGTGAAAAAGGTGAAGAAGGAGTTCACCGTCATCGAACCCATCGACATCAACACCCCTGCACTGCTGGTGAGCCCCCGTGCCCGAGCAGAGCTTGTCAGGGGTGCGCCATGCGGCGGGGATGGGCGCCAGGAGTGCAGAGGCTGCTGCACCTCCTGCTTTTTGGGAGCTGGAATGCATTGCAACAGCATCTTGCATAAGGCTCCTAGGAGCCGGTGCTGCTCCCCAGCAGGTTGGCTGTGCCAGGGAAGCGCTTGCCTTGTGTTTTATTGTTCCTTTCTGAGCAGCCTCTGCCCGTCCCTTTTTTCAGGCTCCCCAGGCGGGTGCTAAGGAGAAACTCGCCCGCGCCTGGTACTGCAATCGTGGCCAGGTCTCAGTGACTGCCAAGATCGACCGCAAAGGCTACACCCCCGGTGAGCACCTCCCTCGGGCGCCCAGGGTGAACTTTGGCTGGAGGGGACTTGGGGTCACCTGCTCGTCCCCGCCGTGCCAACGGGCAGATGAACCCCCAGTGACCCCCGTGCAGGAATTCCTCGGGGCAGGACTGGGCTCCGTCTGCAACATGTGCGTCTGCTCGGCAGGTGAGGTCATCCCTATCTTTGCTGAGATTGACAACTGCACCAACCGGGCGGTGGTGCCCAAAGCAGCCATCATTCAGACTCAGACCTTCATCGCTCGGGGCACCAAGAAGCAGAAGAAGTCAGTGGTGACCAGCATCGTCGGGGACTCCATCGCTGCGGGGAAGCGCGAGGTGTGGCACGGGCGGGCGCTGAAGATCCCCCCGGTGGGGCCGTCCATCCTGCAGTGCCGTGTCATCCAAGTGGAATATGCCCTGAAGGTGAGGGCTGCGTGGGGACCGCGGTGGGGCTCAGCTCTCTGCTGGCTGTTCCCGTCTTCCCAAAGCTGTGCTTATCAAGGTTGGTGCTCTGTGCCATGTCTTGTGCTGAGCATCTCCCTGCGTGTCCAACTGCAAGAATTCCCTTCTTCCCTTCACCCGGGAAAGCTCTGCCCCTCTGTGGGAGTAACGCCACAGCTGAGTTCCCCCACTGCCTGCAGGTCTGTGTGGATATTCCTGGCACATCCAAGCTGCTCCTGGAGCTGCCGCTCGTCATCGGGACGATCCCACTGCATCCGTTTGGCAGCCGCACGTCCAGCATCAGCAGTCAGTACAGCATCACCCTGGACTGGCTGAGCAGCATCCCCGAGCAGCCTGAAGGTGAGCAGAGGGCAGGGCACGTTTTCAGCCTCGATGAGTCAGGGAACGGCACGCTTGAAGCCGCTTCAGCTGCACGTTCCCCATTCCTCGACGCTTTTCTTTCTTCTCTTCAGCCCCCCCCGATTACTCAGCGGTGGTGCCCAGCCCCACAGCCGAGCAGAGCCTGGCCCCGCCGTGCCGCAGCGAGCTCGGCGCTGTTCTGGAAGGGCCCTTCTTCGCCTACATCCAGGAGTTCCGCTTCCGACCGCCTCCGCTCTACTCTGAGGTGAGGAGCCGTGCGGGCGGTGCGGGGTGATGCACCCACTGCTGCCGGGGGTCCTGACTCTGGGTTTGGTGTTGCAGATCGACCCGAACCCACCTTCAGACGGCATCCGCCCGCGCTGCATGACCTGCTGAGCAGTGCTGATGGCATCGTGACCGTTGGGCTGCAGTCAGAGCGCCCGCAGGATGGCAGTGGGCGCATGAGAGCGCTGAGCCCCCACCACAGGCACTGCCCTGTGGGGTCTGAAGGGCTGGAACCGCCCCAGCGTTTTGGGGTTCGGATGGAGCTGGGATGATGCTCCTCTATGTGTGCTCCAGCACCTCCTGCTGTGGAGAGCTTTGAGCTCGGAGGTGTTGCAGGGAATCCAGAGAATGTTTAAATCCTGTGCTGGGTTTGGACCCCGCGGTGCTGAGGGTGCAGCTCTGCTGCTGCAGTTGCTTCTCCAGAACTGCAGTTTCCTAAGGAGAAAACTGGCCGGGTGAGGCAGACTGTGCTGCTGGTGAGCACGGCTGGGAGCCGGGAGCTGCTGCAGGGGTGGCTGGAGCTGCCTGGCAGCTGGGTGGGGGCTGCAGAGCCCCCCGTGGCCAACATTGGGGCTGTGTAATTCCCAAAGCAGCAGAGATCTGCGGTGGTGTTTCGGTGCTGCTCCTGCAGGGTGGCACAGACGTGGCCCCTCACAGTGCTTTGTTGGCCTAAGAAAAAAAGCTGGAGTGAGTCCTCCAGGGCAGCCACCAGAGACTGTGCGTTCCCCCCGACCCCTGCGCAGAGCCCCAGCCCCGGTGCTGGGCATTGCTCAGAGGATTTTCTATTGTTTGTATCAGTGACCACTTTTATACCGACCACTCTTTGTCTCTGACGTTACTCTTTTCGTACAACTTCAGTTAGGGTGATTTCTCTGAAATAAATTTCTTTTAACCAACTGCAGCTCTCAGCTTTTGCATTTGGAGTCACGCTGGGTGCCCCAGTGCTGCTTCCCCTTTCCCAGAGCTCAGCAGCACGCTGCTCTGCTGTGTGCCACTGTTCCTCTTCCGTGTGGCCTCAACCCCTTCCACCCCCATGGCAGCACCCGTCGGGTTCTGCAGTGCTGATGTTCCCCGTCGTGCAGCTCCTGCATCTGCTGTGCTCACAGTGAGCTTTGGGTTTGCTGCACTTCTGCACCCCGTGCCTGCTGAGCACAGCAGATCTCAGAGGGTCTGCAGTGGGGCTGAGGTCTGAAACGGGGCTGAGTTCCACAGTGTCCTCCAGGGCTGTGCTGTGACAAACACTGCTGCTGGAATGTGACTTTTCCCCCTGGTTTTGTTTGTTTTTCTTCTTTTTTTGTTTGTTTTCCTTTTTGTGTGTGTGTGTGTATTTTTCTTCTTTATGTTTCTTTTCTGTTTGGGTTTTCATTTCCTTTCTTGCTTTTTGGACCTTGCTCAGTGTTCAGACCTGCACCCCATGCCAGCGCTGCCACGCAGGACCCACAGGTGCTCCATACACCTTTACCCAAGCCTCCCTTTGCTTCGCCTCCCCTCGGGACAAGGATGGAGATGCTTCATGGTGATGTTGCTTGCAGATGCACACCCCCCATGTGCTCTGCTTCTCCCTGGAGCCATCTTTCCAGCAACTCTTCTTGTAACAGCCTCAGGGCTTCCTCGGAAAGCCGCAGCGTTGGCTTTACAAGTCCTCCAGTCCCGGAAGGGCTAAAAATACCCCCAGGGACAGAGCTGGCATCCCCTGCTCTGCAGCCTCGGCTCCAAAGCCCTTCTCCCGCAGCCCAGAGCCTCCGTGCTGCCGTCTGTCTGCTGCGTCCCCGCTCTGCTCCGGTGCCACTTGCAGAAGGCCACGGCATGCTGTGCACCCATGGGTGGCCCTGAGCCGCCGCATCCTTCCCAGGGTCGGTTCTCCCCTCCTCCCCCCCCCCGTGCCGGCGGCGGCGCTGGCAGGGACAGAATGTGCTCCGAGGGCTGCGGATTAACAGCGCGGGCATCCATCCAGCTCCGGGAAAACAGCTCTTCCTCCACCACCTCCCAGCTGTGCGTGTTGGGAGCCACGTGGTGGGAGCTCCAGCATGGATGGGGTCGGACAGCTGGGGTACGGCTGGGTTTGCACCCTGATGGGTGCGAGCCTGCGAGATACAGGGCCAGCAGTGGGACTGCCCCCCCCCCGCTCCCCCAACCCCATCATTACCTCCATTATTTTCACTGTTTTTGCTCCAGTGCTGCAAAATCTGATCCCTGGGGACCCTTTCACGTGGGGACACCGGAGCCACTGCTGCCCACCTAAACAGAGGCGCAGCCCTGCTCACACCGCCCTGCGTGGGGGATTTGGGGAATCCCTGTGCGGGTTGGACAGGAACGACTGCTCCTCCTGCAGTGCTCCGGGGCTTCGGCTGCCCGCAGTGGGGAGAGATCGCACAGAGCCAGCGCTGCGTTATGCACAGAGGGAGGCCTGGAGCGGACGGACGGACGGACGGGCGCACAGCGCCTCCGAGGGTCTGCTGGTGTGTGCTGTGTGTCACAACCCCGGCAGGAAAGCAGCCCCTCTTGTGGACAATGGAAAATTTTTACGGCTTTTGACTTTTGTCCAATGATTTCAGAGCAGGGAAGCGGCTCACAAACATGTCTATGGGTAAACAGCGGCCGCGGGGCCGGGGCTGTGGGTGGTGGAGAGGACCCCCCCCCCCCCCCCCCCGCAGCCCCAGGTCCCGGCAGGCATCCCCAGGTCCCTCCCTGCAGGCACAAACACGGAGACAAATATTTTGACTCTCCTTGGTGGAGGGCCAGGTCCAGAAAAACAACAAGGACGGCAAGGAGGAGAAGCCGTGCGTTCACCTGCTGGCAGCACGTGATGGGCAGTGCGGGGACCCCCGTGCCCATAGCTGGGGTGTGACACGTGGTGACATCGCTCCTGCTGGTCCCTTTGCACAAAGCCCCCACTGCTGTGCTGTTCTTCTCCCTGCCAGTTCTCAGAGCTGCCTCACATTTGCAGTTTCGCAGTTCGGCTTTTAGTTCTGAAGGACATCAGGGAACGGAGCCGAAGGGTCACACAGGTGGGGGCCGTCACCGCGTTTGTCTCCTGTCCCCGCAGAGCCGTGAGTCCAAGCAAACAGCTGCTCTGCTCTGTCGATGGACAGCGGGGCCGGGGGGTGGATTTGTCCCATTGAACCCCTCGGCCCACCCGCAGCCCGTGGTTACACCCCGACCCCACGGAGCCCGCGGCTGCTGCCCGGCTCGCCAGCAAGCGTGATCCCCATTGCCGTGATGTCAGAGGGTTTACAGCGCGCTGAGGGAGAGGACTTTCCTGATAAGCAGCCGTGTGATGCGGCCGTCCCGTCGGGGCCGGGCCGCGCTGGTTGTGGCCGGCGGCAGCGCGGTTTGCTCCGCTTTCTTGTGGTTCTCAGAGAGAAAAACAGGGAGAGCGCTGGGGAGGAGCGCCCCGCGGGCAGAGCAGGAGGACCCGCGGGTGTCGGGTTGTTTGTTGCGGACTCGGCGCCGTGCAGCCGCTGAGATTTGCTGCCCAACCCGGCGCTGTTTTCGGCGTCCCGCACCGCCGTTGTCCTCGCTGACCCGTTTGGGGGCGTCGGTTCCGCTCCACCGCTGCTAAAGCCCGCAAAGCTCCGGGCACCGCGCGGCCCCCCCGGCCCCGACCGCCCCCAAAGCGCAGCCGTGACCAGAGACACTTTCCATTCCGTACGCTCGTGGCAAAGAAAAACCTCATCCTGAGGAGCGAGCGCGAGAAAACAGCAGCGCTGCGCAGTGTGTGTGTGAGTGAGTGTGAGTGTGTGCGTGTGTGAGCGTGCAAAGAGCGGAGCTGCTGTTGTCGTCGGTTGCGAAACGCAGCGCAGAAACACCCGGAGCTGCAAAACCGCACCGCGCGCGGCCGCTTCTCCGCCCCGTTGCACCCCTCGGTGCGCGCCCGGCAGCGCCCGGGGCCGTTTTGGAGCGGGGGATTTGGGGACCCCAAGGAGGTTGTTTTTTTTGGGGGGTGCAGCTCCGGAACTGCGGGGTTTGCCGCTCCCTCAGCACGGTGCCGCAGTGGGGGCTGCAACGCCCCGGGGTTGGGGGAGGAAGGACGGGGGGATGGGAAACGCACCGCCGTGAGTGCGGGCGGGGCTCCGCATTGGGGCAGCGCTGGGAGCGGCGATGTGCGGAGCTCCCACGGCCGGCACCGGGAAAAGCACGGCGCGGTGCGGCCTGCTCCAAAAATAACGGCGGCGGGGCCGGAATTGGCGCGGCTCGGGACGTCGGGGCACGCGGTGTGCGGCTCGTCGGCTCCTCGGATCCGTTGTGAGAAGGAAAAGCTCCGACCCGACGCAGGGGGCGGCGGCCGCTTTGGGGCGCCTTTGGGGCTGCTGTGTCGGGCTGAGCTTTTTCCCCATTCCTGCGGGATTTTCCCCATTCCTGAGGGATGACTTTCGATCCTCATCCGCCTGGGAGGAGTCCCAAGCTCCCGTGCGATGAGCTGCCCGTTCTCAGCCCGCACGCGGCCGATGCCGCAGTGTGTCCGGGCTGTGCGTGGTGAGTCGATGCGGCCGATGCTGTGTCCTTGCAGCCGTTCCCGTCCCTGTGCCGCTCCCGTGGCCGTGCTCGGATCGCCGCCTGCACGGCCGCTCCCGGAAACTCTTTTGGAAAATAGTTCTGTGCCGTTTAAACTCATTAGGGAAGCCTGAGCCGCTCATTCGTGCTAATTGGCATCACGCGAAGCTTCATTAATTTTCCCTTGCTCTGTGCCCCCGGGCTCTGTGGGTGCACGGGGTCACCGTGCCGCTCGGGACGGGGCTGTCCCCAAAGGGGTGACCCCGCGGGCACGGAGAGAACCCCTGCCCCCACCGCCCCCCCTTGGGGTGTTTTTCAGACGGTGCCGGGGACTTGCTGTCCTGCCACAGTCTCGCTGTCGGATTCCCGTGTCCTGGCCCCGTGCCGGGCCATGTGCTCGGCCCGAGCCGTGACCCTAAAAGTTGGGCTGTAAACAGCAGCCGGGCTGCAACCCGAGCGCTGCGCTCCCGTAACGCAGCACTTCCTCTGCGAGCAGCGGTGAGCACCGCCGCCGGGTGCGCTGCGAGTTGGGTCCGTCGCAACCAAAGCCCTAAAAAGAAGCGCCGTGGGGGGCGGGGGGCTGCTGGCTGCTCGTCATCCTCCTCAGCCCCACCGCTTTGGGTTTGGAGGGGACGGAGCGGGGCTGCAGCGCTGCGATAGGACCGGGGAAGGGTCAGCGCCGTGCGGCGGGGATGTGCTGTGCTGCCCCAAAACCCCGCGGGGTTGGGATGTCCGCGGTGGGGGTTCGGTTGGGGTCGGTTTGTGCGACGATGGCGGCGTGAGGCTGCGGGAGGGGAGCGCGGGGCTGCTGCCACCTCGTGGTCCCGTTGGTGGCTCCGACGCGGTGACGGCGGACACGACGGAGTGCCCCAAAACGCGGGGACCTCCGCAGCCCGGGGTGCTCCGAGCAGCAGCCGAAGGGGAGGAAACCCCTCGTGTGGCGGGACCGGGGGACGCTGCCTCTGCCCACATCTCCCTCTTGCCTCTTGAACCCGTTTTCTGTTTCCTCAGCGTTAATTTTTGCTCTCTCAGCACCCACCGGAGGCCGCCTATACCCCGGTGTGGGGCAGGCGGACCACAAACCGCTGCCGAAAGTTCTGCCCCAGATACGGCGCGGCTCCCGCAGCCCCACGTGTCTCACCCCACTGCTTGGGGGCCCAACTGCAAACCCCGGAGTTCCTCGACCCTGGTGGGACAAGGAGAGCACGGCGGTGCTGCTGTTTGGTTTTCTTTACTTCTACACTCTGGTGTTTCAGTGCTCGGCGCTGGGCTTGGCTGTGCCCCCATCCCACGGGGGCAGGGATGCAGTCTTCACTCTGATGTGCTCCCAAAGCAGCTTCCTCGTGCCCAAGGAAACATCCCCACCCCCGTAGGGGGAGCTGAGCCCGCAGCCTCCTGCCCTCATTATTTTGGGCTGCACTGTGCCTCACTGGGTCCCGGCCCTGTGCAATGCAGCAGTGTTCCTGGAAATCAGAAACCCCCAGGAAAGTGCCCGCAGGGCCTTGGGGAGGGCGTTCAGCATCACACCTGGATGCTCAGCATCAGCCCTCCCGGGCCCTCAGCATCACCCCCTCGCTGTCTGAGGGACCCGCTTTGTCCCCCATCCCTGGGATCCCTAAGGCACCGCCTTCTCCTGCAGCAGCCCCACACCCTCCTGATCCTGTGGGGAGGTGGGTTTGAGCAGCACAAGAGGTGGCAGCGCCTGGCTCAGCCCCCAGCTCCCTGCGCCCTCCTCTGCAGCTGTGGGGCCACAGGTGGGGACCTCCCCCAGCCCCCCTGACCCCCCTGGCTCCGGGTCCAGCACCTCCTGCCGCCGGTACGTGAAGGGCAGCTCCACCTTGCAGTGTGGCTGCAGTGGCTCCATCGGTTCTTCGGGGCTGAGCTGTGGTGTGTGGGGCCGCGTGCTGGCGGCTGCCTCATTTTCAGGGCTCAGCTCCATTACCAGCAACTCCCCGGGGCTGAGCTGCTCCGAGGGCTCCAGGAAGCTCTTCCAGGGCTTGTTCTGTTGGGGAGAAGAAGCACTGTGCTGGGAGGTCTCGGCTTCACAGCTCATCCCAGGGCGCACACTGCAGCTCACCTGGCTCATCTCACTGGCTGAGAACCGGAGGGCTTCGCTGCCGGTAGGTTTGGGCAGGGGAGGGAAGAGCATCCCGTGGAGCCTGGGGAGATGGCAGTGGGGTCAATGCGGGGGGAGAGGGGCACGGAGGAACCGTCATTCTGCCTGTTCTCACCTCTTCTTGCTCAGCTGGTAGATGAGGGCGGCAGCTGGGATCCCCAGCGAGATGCCCAGGTACTTCAGGTTGGAGCTCCACACCGCTCCACCTGGAGATGAGCACCTCTGGGTGATGGTGACATCCCAGCCCCGCGTTCCTGTGCCCAATGGGACACAGGAAGGTCCCCATGAGAAAGGGAGGAGGTCCCCCACCGTTACCCAGCGCCGTGGTCTGGAAGTGCCACCGGGCACTGCAGGTGCCCCCGCCGCCCGCCGCCACCTCCTGGATGCCCACCCTGTAGGCGGTGCCTGGTTTCAGGTCTCGCAGCGCGTATCGCGATGCTGATGCGTCCACGTCGCCATCTGTAAGTGACGCCGCGTGGGCAGCAGTGCTCAGAGCCGCCCTCCCTCGGTCCCCCCCACCCTCCTGGCAGCGGTGCCACCACTCACATGTCACGTTGTCCCCTTCAGCAGCGTGGCACACGCGGTACCCCAGCAGCGCCCCGGGGCAAGCAGCGCGTAGGGACGGCTCCCAGAGCAGCACGGCGGCATCGGCGCTGGCGTTGATGCGGACAGAGGCGGCCAACGAGGCTGCGTGGGGCGGGAGCGGATGTTGAGGGTCCGGCCGGCCCCCTGCGCGGCACCGGGGGGTTGCGATGTCCCCGCTGCCTACGTACTGTTGCCGACGAAGTGATGCTGCAGAGCGAAGGTGGCCCAGTCCTGCTCTGCGCCGCGGCCGTGCACGGCGAGCCGGTAACAAGCCGGCGCTTCCAGCGGCCCTACGTGAGGAGCGGCACCGTCACCGCGTGGCCGCAGCCAGCAGGAGGGCGTTGGGGCTCGGGGCGCTGCCGTGCCTGCCTGCCAGTGGGAGCTGCGTGCGAGGAACTCCTCCTGCACGCAGCGCCCCGGCTGTGGGGCTCCCGGCGTCCGCTGCCGCTCAAAGCAGAAGGCGAAGCCTCGCGTTGGTGCCTCCCAGCGTGCGATCACCATGGTGCCCACAGAGCTGATGTTCTGGAAGCTGAGCTCTGGGGCAAAACACGGGGAGCAGAGAGGTGAGGGTGGTGCCGGGCCAAGGAGCCTCGTCTTTTCTGTGGCCTTTTTGGGTACCCGTGTGCTGCTCCACCGGCACCTGCAGCCGCCGTGCAGGGCTGCTTCCTGCGGCGTTGGTGGCCGTCAGCACGATCTCGTATGCAGCCCCGCAGAGCGTGAGGTTGTACTCTGTCTCCTCTGCCCCCAGCACCACCTCGTCCTCCTCGGCGCAGCTGCACTCCGGCATGTGGGCACGCAGGGTGTAGCTGACGTCCCCCTGTGCCGCGCTGGCGCGCTGCGTGGGGACAGCGGTGGCAATGCTGTGGGGTGCCTGCAGGACACGGAGCCGTCCCAGCAGTGCGCCCACCTGCCCACCTGCCAGCCCAGCTGTAGCAGCCTCTGCCCGTTTCTCCCGAGGTGTCCCAGCCTGAAGCTCAGTGCGGGGCTCTCCAGGATCTCTGCGAGAGGAGCGATGCGCTCACCCAGGTGCGTGCCGGCCAGGTGCAGGGATGTGGGGTCCCTCCTGGCGTCGCACTCACCCTCGGGGATGAAGATGGATGGGCTCCAGTCGCTCCAGTGGCTGCTCCAGTGCTGCGTCCTGTGCCGGAGCTGCACCTCGAAGGCAGCGGTTCCCCCCAGCTCGCAGGTCACTGCAGAGCACCAGGTGGGTGGTGGTGAGGTGACCCCTCTCAGGATGAGTTTGTTCCCCCACCCCAACCCTGAGCATGGGGCAAAACAGACCTGGGTCATCCTCTCCATCCTCACCCTTCCCTGTCTCACACATCACCTGCGGAGAGAACGGTGGCACCGGCCACCGGGTGATGGTGATGCTGACCGAGGTGCAGGGGACGTGGTGGTTGGGGGATCTCTTTGGTCCCCTCACCTGCATCCAGCTGCCATCACCCACCCGGCGGAATCGAGCCTCCCTGCGTGGCGGCGGCCGCTCCTTGTGGTGACACTGCGGCCGCGGCAGCCTCAGCTCCAGGCGCCCATTGGCCTTGGTGAAGGACATCCCATGGGAAGGGGGATCCAGCTTCACTGCGGGGACAGCACAGCTGTGGTGACCACTGCAGCCCGCCGCCCTGCCTGGTCCCCAGCACTCACCGGCCTCGTCGAGGTGCAGCGTGATGTTGGGGCTGCGCTCCAGATGCTGTCCCCAGCGCGCCTCCACCCAGGCCGTGGCGTTGGTACGGACATAAACTTGGTGCTGCTTCAGGGTGCGCACCGTGGCGGTGCCCGCATCGTGCTGCTGGCACAGCTGCCGGCTCACATAGCTGCAGGGAAAGCGCTCAGCCGTGGTGTACAGCAGTGGCACCATGTCCCCTGTGGCACCAAGTGTCCCCTGTGTGCTCCTGATGGACACGTTGTCCCCAACTCACCAGAGCACGAGGACGTAGGTGGTGCTGCCGGCGGGGCCCTGGGGCGGCCAGGAGCAGGTGAAGGGGCCGGAGCTGCAGCGCCTGAAGCAGGAGAGCCCGGGGGGGGGATCGGGGGCACCTGTGTGTAGGGAATCACACCCGGGCTCGTGGGGGTTTGGGGTAGTGGAGCTTGCTTGACCTGGGGTCATGGGGATGGGGAGGGGGGCCGGGGCCAGAGGTGCTCCATCTCCCAGCTCCCTGCAGGGCCCCCTCCAGCCCCCCGGTACCATTGCGACTCCACATGACCCACAGCGGCCGGAGGTGGCTCGGAGGCCGTGCAGAGGGGGGGCGGGCTCAGCCGGCAGTGGGGCTGTGGGCCCCCGGCACCGGGACGGCCGCGTGCTGCAGGCAGTGCTGCGCCGCGCAGTGGGGCAGAGAGACAACGGCAGTCGTGCAGTGATTCCCAAAAAGCCCTCTTCTCCCATGGATGCCACGCAGCTTTGCCCGCCAGCACCATTCAGACCCCATCCCGCTGCCCGCAGCCCCAGCACCGTGCCCGGAACACCTCCGTCCGCTGCCATGAAAGCTCCCTGCTCCACTCCCTTCCCTTATCACCCCGTATCGCTCAGCGAAACCCTCTGCTTTTATCTCCCATCGCGGCAGCACTCACCGCCCCGCGCCGGCAGCGCCAACGCCAGCAGCAGCCACCGCAGCGCCGGGACCCCTCCGCGCTCCATCCTCACCGCGCCCCCCCCGCAGGGTCCCTCTCCCCCCGGCTCTGCCCCCACTGCCGCTTCCTCTGCTGCTGAGCGCGGCCGTTGCCGGTGTTGGCGCGTGCTTCTCTTGGACCAAAACCAAAAGAGAAAGCAGCGTTGATGTCCCCCGCTGTGCCCGCACACCCGCCCCGACGCTGCCAGAAAAGCAAGGTAAGCAAAAGAGGTGTTGTGTTGCGCTGCTTTTTCTTTTTTGCTTTTTCTTTTTTTGGCAACCTGCACGTCGTGGCTTTGATGCGCTGCCCGTATTTGGTGAATCAGGAGCTGCGAGGTCGGGGCTGCTCCCAGCGCGGGGCCGCATGTCCGGGCAGAGCCCTCCGGCCCCCAGCGCACATCGTCCCCCCCTCGAGGTCACAACAAAGCCCCACTGAGGCACAGGACATGGCGTCACCGGGCGCCGTGTGATCGCGGGCGGCAGAGCCGGGTGGCACCGCGCACAGAGCGCCGTTGTCCCCGCAGAAAATGTCCCCTTGTGCGCCGCTCCGCGTGGGGACGGCGCGGCGGCGGTGGTGGAGCGCCGTGCAGGGGCGGCTGTGACCCCTCAGCCCACCGCCGTGGGCGCACGCTCAGCCCTGTGGCTCTTGGAGCAGCGTGCTGTGCCAAACCACGCCGTGCCGTGCCACGCTGTGCCAAATGAAGCTGTGCTGCGCTGGGGGTGTCGTGCCAAACTGAGCTGTGCCATTCACCACACCAAACCAAGCTGTGCCATGCCAAATGAAGCTGTGCCATGCCGTGCCACGCTGCTCCAAACCAAGCTGTGCTGTTCCGTGTTGTGCCAAACTAAGCTGTGCCTTGCCATGCAGTGCCGTGCCAAACCAGGCCAGGCCACGCCACAGCCGCACCACGCCGTGCCATGCTGACCTGCGCCGTGCCGGACGTGGCTCAGCCCTTACTGTGCCGGGCCATCAGGGAGGAAGGGACCACCGCGCCGCCCGCCCCGCTCCCAGCCACCCCCGTGCCGTGCCGCGCCGTGCCGGGGCCGCTGGGCGGCGCACCGGGAGCACCGGGCGGAGCGGGAGCAGCGGGAGGCGGCGGCGCGGCGCGGCGGAATGGACGAGCCCAGCATCCTGCGGCGGAGGGGGCTGCAGGTGAGCGGCGCGGAGCTGCGCGGGGCGGGTGGGCGCGGGGTGGGTGCCGGAGGGCGGCTGTGTGCGTGTGTGTGCGTGTTGGATGTGGGTGCGAGAAGGGTGGATGCTCGGTGAGTGCGTGTGCGAGCGGGAGCCGTGTGTGCGGGAGAGGGGGCTGCCGTGCGTGCGAGGAGCGGTGCTGCGGGTGGGATTGGGGTGCGGTGCCGGCTGTGGGAGAGGATCCCGGCTGTGGGTGCCGGGGGGCACAGGACCGTGTGCGGGGCTCTGCCGGGGGCTCCGTGGGAGCAGCGCGGGACCCCCATCCCAGCGATGCCCAATTTTTGCCCAACCACGGCCGTGAGGGTTTGCAGCCCCCAGCCCCACTGCGCACCCCCAGGGGCTCCAACCCCCCCGCCTATCCTTCTCCCACACCCCCAGATCCCCGCCGCCCCTGTCGGAGGGCAGGCAGACGGCCGCAGCGGGGGCTCACACTGAGCCCGAAGCTCTGCGCCGATTTTCCGGGTGACCTCACAACTCCGTCCCCATCTGCAAAACGGAGCGCTGCCCCCCGCGGGCCGTCCCGAGCTGTCGGTGCGGTTGGAGCGCGGTACGAAGCTGCCTTCATCCGAGCTGGCAGCTCCCCGGGGCGCCGCGCTGTGCTGCGTGCTGCTGCAGTGGGGGGCGGTGGGGGGAAGGGACCCCACAGCAACCGCAGCACCACGGCAGCCACAGCGCTGCTCTCGGGTGGTCCCTGGGGGGAGCAGCCCCGCGGCCGTGGGTTCGGCTCCCTGCAGCAGGTGGGGACGGTTGTCCCAACGCATCGGGCAGAAGTGCCGCCCCCAGTGCTGTCCCCAGTGCCAGCGCTGTCCGGGCAGCCGATGGCGTGGCCCTGGGTGAGGATGGGGATCTCAGCCGAGGGACAGCGGGGTGAGGGTGCTGGGGGAGCTCCCGCTCCGTGCGGGGACCCAGCACCCGGCCGTGGGGTCACAGTGCTGCTCCAGGACACCGACACCGTGCACCCACACTGTCACGGCGCACCCACCCCGGTACCACGCACCCCCCCGCCGCCCCCAGCACCCACGGGCCCCCGCTGCCGAATCGCTGTGCATCGGGGCGTGATGTCACCCGTTGTCATGGCAACGCTGCTGCATCACTGTGTTGCTGCGCGCCCCAACCCAGGGATTTCCGTGGGGGCAGCGGGACGGGGCGCGGGTACCCCGGCTGCGTGGGGTGCAGGAGTGACAGCAGCAGCTCACACAGCCTCCACCCCTGGGCGCTGCCAGGAGGGGAATGCGGTTAAGCTGCTTAGGGGTACGGGGCCGTTGGGCACAGATCGGGGCAGTGATGGGCGTCAGCAGCACGTGCGGCCACCACGTGCGCCTCCGTCCCGCAGTCACCACGGCACGCGCTGCCCGCCGGCACCCACGGCTCCCTGTGTCTGCTGGGTGGCACACGGGTGGGCGCTCGGTCCCTGCTGCACGGAGGCTGCTGTGCTGCACCGCTGCCCTTTGCCCCTCGTGCCACCTGCAAGCAAACAGCTTCCACCAGAGATCTTCCCATCGGCTGGAAAAATAAACAGCGTGAGGGGCGCCGGCTGCTGCCCACGGCCGAGTCTGTGGGACGGGGGGCAGGGACGGGGATGGGGGCACAGCCATCACCCCGCGGCTGTCGTCTCCTGTCCTCGAGGCCTGGCCACGCAGCCACCAGTGCAGGGCGCTGAGGAGCAGCTGCCCCCCCGTGCTGACCCCTCTGTGGGGATGGTCCCTGCGGTGCAGCGGTGGCAGCCCTGACCCCGCTCGTTGCTTTTCTCGTTGCAGAAGGAGCTGAGTCTGCCGCGCCGAGGGAGAGCGTAAGTCTGCCGAGCTGCACCGCGTGGGACGGTGGCGTCACCGGGAGGGCTGCGCCTGGGGCCGCACTGCCGCCTGCAGGGCTCAGCTGGATGCCACCTTGGGGTGGCCAGGTCTCGCCGTGCCCAAACCCGGAGTGGGATCACCGTGCTTTCTGATGCCAAAGAGATGTGATACGTGTGTGTAAGGGTGTACTGGGCAGTACTGGAGTGCACTGGGGCGAGCTGTGCTGCCGCAGTGCGTTGGGACGTTCCGTGGTGTATTGGGGTGCACCGGCGTGCGGCAGGAGCCGATCCTGAAGCTGTGCTGAGGCTGTTCGGGGCACTGTGGGGTGATGAGGGGGTGCACCGCTGCTGCAATGCCTCTTTGGGGCTGTGGGGCACACGGGTGCTGTGTCAGGGGTGCGCTGGAGGGGGCGCTGGGGCCGTTATAGGAACTGGTGCTGTACTGGACCGTCCTGCAACGGTGCTGCTCTGTGCCCAGGCAAAGCCCGGGAGCGGAGTGGCCCCGAGCAGCTTCTGCGCCGTCCGGGCTGTGCTGGGAGCTGGGGGCTGCGGTGCCGCGCGGTGCCGAGCCGTGCCGAGCTGTACTGAGCCGTGCCGAGCCGTTTCGAGCCGTACCGATCTGCAGGGGCGGGTCCGTGCCCGGCGGGCCGAGCTCCGCTCCCGGCGGTGCCGCCGCTGCCGCCGCCCGTTGGAGCCGCCCAGCGCGGGGGCTGCCGGTGCGACGGGCGGAGCGGAGCGGAGCGGCGGCGGCGGCATGAAGGCGCGGCGGGAGCGGCTGAAGATCCCCGCGCTGACCTTGGAGTGAGTCGGAAAGGGGCTGCCGGCGGCGCCGGGCTCGGGCTGATGGCGACAGCGGCATCCCCGCATCGCCAACATCCCCACATCCCGCGTGCTGAGCATCTCCGCATCCCCCCGTCACAACCCCCCCATCCCCTGGGCGTCCCCTCATCCCGAGCATCCCCAGCTTTCCCGCCCGCCGTGGCGTCTGCCCTCCCGCATCCCCAGCCCTCGCCCCCAGCCTGTGCCCCCTTCAGCCCTGCCCACAACGTCTCCCTTCCGGCTCTCTCCCCTCTCCTTGCTCTTTGTCCCCCGTTCCCGATGGTGCCCCGGGAGGGGAATTGCTGCTGCTGTGCGGTGCCCCCAGGTGCCGGGTGCCGCTCACACCGTTGCCTTGCAGCCTGTCCCCGAGCAGCCAGAGCCCGACGCTGCTGAGCCCCTGCAGCCCCTGCAGCCCCTGCAGCCCGCTGCTATCTCTGCACCCCTGGAGGTAAGACCCCAAACCCTGCCTGCTCGGGGCAGAGAGGTGGGACTCCCACCCTGAATGGGACAGAAGCTTCTTCTGGG